AAGGCTCCACCCCTCACAATGTAACAGCTGCCTCAAGGGGAAAACATATGGCCCAAATGAAAGAACAGATCAAAGCTCCAGAAATAGAATTAAGCAATGAAGAGATAGTCAATCTATCAGATGCAGGGTTCAAAACACTAATAATCAGGATGCTCACAGAATCAGTTGAGTATGGTCACAAAATGGAGGGAAAAGTGAAGGCTATGCAAAGTGAAATGAAGGGAAATGTACAGGGAACCAACAGTGATGGGAAGGAAGCTGGGACTCAAACCAACAGTTTGGAGCAGAAGGAAGAAGTAAACATTCAGCCACAACAGGATGAAGAAACAAGAATTCAAAAAATTCCCGAAGAGAGGCTTGGGAACTGCTGGGACAACCTTAAATGTTTCAACATCTGAATCATAGGGGTGCCAGAAGGAAAAAATAAAGAGCAAGAAATCGAACACTTATTTGAAAACATAATGAAGGAGAACTTCCCAAATCTGAGAAAGGAAATAGACTTGTTGCGAGTCCAGGAAGCCCAGAGAATCCCAAAGAAGTTGGATCCAAGGAAGCACACATCAAGGCACATCATAATTACATTAGCCAAGATTAAAGCTAAGGAGAGAATCTTAAACGCAGCAAGAGGAAAGGAGAGTTACCTACAAAGGAGTTCCCATAAGAATATCAGCTGATTTATCCAAAGAAACCCTGCATACAAGAATGGGCTGACAAGAAGTATTTGAAGTCATGAAAGGCAAGGACCTACATCCAAGAGTACTTTATTCAGGAAAGCTGTCATTTAGAATGGAAGGGCAGATAAAGTATTTCCGAGATAAGGTCAAGTTCAAGGAGTTCATCATCACCAAACCCTTAGTGTATGAAATGTTAAAGGGACTTATCTAAGAAGAAGAAGATTATCAAAAATATGAACAGTAAAATGACAACAAACTCACCACTATCAACAACTGAACCTAAACAAAAACAAAAGCAAACTAAGCAAATAACTAGAACAGGAATAGAATCTCAGAAATGGAGATTGCATGGAGGATTTTAGTGGGTTTGGGAAGTGGGGAGAATGGGGGAAAGGTACAGGATTAAGAAGTATAAATGCTAGATACAAAATAGATGGGGAAGGTTAAGAATAGTAGAGGAAATATAGAAGCTGAAGAACTTATATGTACGACCCATGGACATGAACTAATGGGTGGAATGTGGGTTGGGGGAGTTCAGGGCAGAGGGAAATAAGGGGGAGAAATTGGGGGAACTGTAATAGCATAGTCAATAAAATATATTTTAAAATTTACCTGAAAATGGATCATAGACCCAAATCTAGAACCCCAAATAATAAAATTTGTAGAATAAAACATAGGAGAAATTTCGTTACCTTAGTTTATGCAAAAATGCACATATTTATTAGTATTACCAAAAGCATGGTCCATAAAGAAATATTTGATATATTGGGCTTCATAAAATGAAGAACTTCAGAAAACAATGTTAAAGGAATGAAAAGACAAGCCACGGACTGGAAGAATGCACATCATACAAACAGTTTTTAACCTAGAACATATAAAGAACTACTAGAACTAAACAGTAAGACAGCAACATGTTTTTAAAAGTGGGCAGAGGATTTAATCAGACTAGTGTGTATGGGCACATGTGTGTGCATTAAATAAGCACACAAAAAGTTGTTCAATGCCATTAGTCATTGGAGAAATGCAAATTGAAACTGTGAGATACCATGATGCACTTTTTAGAATGTCTAAAATGAGAACAACTGATGTGACAAAGTGCTATCAAGCATGCAGAGCAGCTGGAACTTTCACACATTGCTGGTGGGAATGCAAAATTGTGCAGCCACTTTGAAAAATGTTTGGCAGAGCTTTATAAAATTATCTAGATATTTTCATACACCCAGAGAAGAAATAACTTAGTTCACACAAAACCTCTAAGTGAACATTTCTAGCAGCTTTATTTATAATAGTCAAAAACGGGAACTAACTCAAGTGCCTCTTAACTGAGAAAGGGATATATGTACAGTGTGGTACATCCATCCATACGATAAAATGGAACATTCCTCGGCAGAGAAAAGCATCACCATGAGCAAATCTCAAATTCAATATGTTAAGTGAAAAAAAGCCAGATTTGAAATTATGAACTGTATGATAGCATTTATATGACATTCTTGAAAAGACTAAATTATAGGGACAGAACACACTTCTGTGGTTTGCGAGGACTGAGGCTCAGGGAGAAATTTGACGCCAATGAGCATAGAGAAATTTTTTGGATAGTGGAACTATTCTATATCTTGGCTGTATTTGTGTGTACTATATATATTGCATGTGTTTATTGTATACAGTTTTCAAAACTTGCAGAACTGCAGACTAAAAATGTGCATTTTACTGTATATTAATTATATCTTAATTAGTAATTTATAATAGTGTGAAAGATACATTTAGCAAATGTATCTCAGATCTGTACACTGAAAGATCCAAAACATTTTTGAGAAATCTTTAAAAGAAACCAATAGAGTAATATCCATTGTTCATAACAAAATAGAAGTCTGCACATTGTTAAAATGTAGGTCTACCCAAAATGGTCTGTGTTTCAGTGCAATATCATTGGGAATCACAGCAGATTTTTTGGCAGAAATTGACAAAGTGATTCTAAAATGTATGTGGAAATTCAGAAGACCTGTAATATCCAAAGTAATCTTGAAAAGGAAAGAGATGGAGGGCTTACACTTCCTCAGTTCAAGGCTTAGTACTAAACTCCAGTCAGTACAATTGGCATAAGGGTAGACATGGAGTAAATATAAACTTATCATGTGACTCAGAAATTCTGCTCCTAGGTACTCAGAAGAGATGACAAAACATGCTCACCGAAAATTTTGCACAAAAATGTTCATAGCATTTTTATTTGCTATAGCCACAGCTGAATAAAAATCAAATGTTCATCTATAGATTAATAGGGAAACAATTATCCTGGATCCATGTAATGAAATACTAATAACTAATGAAAAGAGGTAAATCTCAAATGCAGTATGTATAGGCCTGACCAGGTGGCACAGTTGGTGGGAGCATCAAATGCAGTATGTATAAATGAGTCTCAAAAAGATTAGAATGAGCAAAAGAAGTGAACCAGAAGAGTACGTAGTACCATTGTGTGATTCCATCTATATGAAATTCTATGGCAGGTGAGCTAATAGGGTAACAGAAAGTGAATCTGTGCCTAGAGTCAAAATTGTGGGTGGTGTCAACTACAAAAGAGCACAGTAAAATTGGGGGGGGGGCAGTTTGATGAAATTATTTCATGGCTTGATTGTGATATTGTTTGTATAGGTATTGATGCTTGTCAGAATTCGTAAATTAATAACTTAGGACCATTTTATTTTGCGTAAAAGGTACTTCAATGGAGTTGGTTTTTAAAATAGTACACAGACTATTCAGTGTTTTTAACTTGGGAAAATGGTATTTTAGAATTTCCTTTTCTTGTATTCTAATAATGTTACTAGAGAAATCAACAAAAAAGGGAAAAATTTAAAATATTTCTACAGAGGAAGCAGTGACATTATTTCAGCTCTTTTTGATTTTAAGGAAGCCAGCTTTCATAAGTGATACGTCGACATGATTTTAAGCCTGGTCATCAACAGACTCTTAAGAGTAAGAATGTGTTCTGAATATGCTTTTAATTTATACAAAATATCACATTTTATTAATAAGAAAAGAGCAATTCACAATATATTATATTTATCCTCAAAAGATAATCACATTCTAGACATTTCTCCTGAACAGCGCCTTAAAATGCACTTTTACTGATATGTGTCAGAACCGTCACCAGTTTTAGGAACAAAAACGATAATTTTCTCTACCTGACTTGTGACCTTTTCCTACTACAGTACACATATTAATTTATAAAAAATAATCTTTAGTGATTGTGTGAAAAAGTCATATACAGGAAAATAAACCTTTTTCACATACCAGGTTAGCCTATTGTTTGATGGTGTGTTGGAATTAAAATCTCCAATGCTGGAGCAGATGGACCTTCGAGGGAAGGTCATGAGGTGGTGGACTGACAGTTTTGGAATCAGTTTGAAAGCTGTTTTCAAATCCTTAAAGATGTTTCTACCTTCTGATTAAATAATTTTTCTACTTACTTTATCAATTAGGGTAATGATTTGAATTTAGGACCTTTTCCTGCATTAGAAGGAGGTGAGGAAATGCAGGGAATAATATTAATTGTTAGTATAATGATAGTAATTGTTACTCATAATTTTTCCAGGTGAGTTCATTATAAAGTATCTTTCATTTAGCTTTCATTATATGCATACAATCAAGAGATAGTCCTTGAGTGATAAACTCTTAGATTTATTCCTGCAAGGAAAGTATAAACTAGGTATTAAAAACAAATGAACTTTTAACTGTTGCAGTTTTCTATTTAACCTAGATTGCATGAAAACTAAATTCAGTGTAAGGGCAGTTACCAAGGGCCAGTTGCGTTGTCCCCTCTGGTGCTTTCCTGAGTCAGAGGATCTAGATAACAGTACTGCCCACACAAAGGACAAGCTTAGACATATTGAGTCATCTTTTACTTTGGAACATGCCAAATTGGACTGACCTTTCTTGTGCAAACAAATGCAACAGTATGTGTAACAGAATTTTAATAGACTGACTCATTTCTATACTATCAGATTGCTGTAGGTCATGAAAATGTGAACTTCTCACCACCTATTGTATTTTTTAATCATCTTATAGCCAAAAATTTCTTCAAATCTTATCTCATATTCTCCTGTTTTCTGGCTCTCTAGATCATTTGGTCATTATTGCTCTTATGATATGTGATTTCTTTCCTTCTGACTTGGAGTCATGTCAATATCAATTTTGCCATTCATTTTTAATCTCTCTATATTTTGAACTTTTCTAATTAGTATGTATTTGTCTCCTGGCTTTTATTTGTTTCATTTTTATCGTAAATTTATGAGGATTTTGACATTTAACCTATTGTACTGTTTGTATTTGCAGTTCCCTGAATGTGGTTTTTATGGAATGTATGATAAGATCCTGCTTTTTCGCCACGACCCTACCTCTGAAAACATCCTTCAGCTGGTGAAAACGGCTAGTGATATCCAGGAAGGCGATCTTATTGAAGTTGTCTTGTCAGGTAGTATAATTTTCTCTCTCTCCATAGATTAATAATTAGCACTTGAAGAATTCTTGCATATACATTATTAAGGCAACATGAAAAACATACATCAAACTTGGTCCCAAAAGGAGATTTTAGTGTTTTGCCTGTATGTACTTTCAAATTTATTTTGGAAGGAGCAAAAAGTTTCCTTTGAATTGGCTGTTCCCACACCCGGAATTGTCCCCATCACTTATCCCAACTTTATGCTCTCCACAACCCACAACAACACACCTTGTCTGGAATCATCTAGACAGCAGCAAAAAGCAAATAAAAAACTTTCCAACAGTGAAGCTAAGACCTGTCAGCCCCCAAATGTAATGAGTTTCTGGAAGCCAAGAAGTAATAGCAGCGCTATGAAACCATTGCTTTAGTTGAGGCAGACAACCAGTAGCAGTGAACCAAGACCAAGTTGAAAACCAGAGCTCAGCAGTTAGAGTGGGTCAGGCAATGCCACCTGACATTAGCTAACCCATTCCCTGAGAAATGGCTGCATCTCCCCCTGCCCAAATGTATATTTCTTGTGTGGGATATAGAAGTTAGGACTGTGCATGTCAGTACAGAGAGAAAATGGATGCATTTAATTAAAATTTTTTAAGTGCTAGAGAACTGCTGCAGGAGGGATCCTTGCAACCATCAGTGCAATATTCTGAAGACGTTCACATTTTTATTGTTTATTTTTGTTGAGATTGAGTGGCTGAGAAACTCAGATTGCCCTGACAAGAAATTAGTGCCTGTGATGTGGGCTGGATTGCACTGCATTATAATTTGAGGCAAGACAGATGATAGCTGCTAAGACACTTTAGGACATGGGTGCAAGGGAGCTCAGATGACATACCAATTTCTGAACCAATCTCTGGAGAGGATGGAGTGCTGTGATTGGCCAGAGAAATACACTACTTCCTGGAGGTGTGCTTGAGGAAGTTCACACTGCAATGGGTAAAAGGAGGGTAGAGGGGCAAAACTCTGGGTGTCCCCTCTGTTGCCTGTTCTCCAGTTCCAGAACATAAACATACTATGGAAATTTCCTTCTTAAACACTGTGATTTTACTGTGAAGACTCATTTATCCAAATTTCTGTTTTTCTTCATTAAAAATTAATTTTTTCTATGTGGTTTAGCAGAAACATAATTGGGTCCTTTTTACATTTAACCCACATTCTACAAATAAGAATAGTTTTCTGACTTAGGAGAACAATTTCATTATGAAGAAGGTTAGATCCTCATGTCTTTTTCATCACCAGGAATTTTCTCTTGCTGATGTCATTTTCTGCCGAGACCTTTCATCATCTGTTAGTACTAAACAGGCTGCCCCCGGGTAATTTTCTGGTTTTTCCTCCCTTTTTCCTTTTGAAAAACATGACTTGTGTAAGCTAGTGCATTTAGACCAAGCGCGCCAGGAAAAGATTGCTCATGGGTGGGAGAGTTGCGTTATGGAGAAACAAAGAAACAACTCCGTGGCAGTTCCCCACCAAGCACACTGCTGCCACTGTAAACTTTCTTTGTCTGTTAAGCAGAGGATTAGCATTGTTACTATCTTTATAAGGTAGAAGAACACTGCAAATGGAATTTCTCTTGCTAAGCCAAAGTCAAGGTCAAATATATTGTACTGAAATGTAATATAAAGTTCATGTAATTTATCCGAAGTCTTCTTCATGCTGGGTGCCTATCAAAGCTTGGTAATTCAGCCCTGGCAAGCGTTAGTAACAGGGCTGCATCCACATGAACCAACTATTTTAGTTTTTCATTTTGGGGCTTTTTTTTCAGCTTAATTTCTAATATTTTTTTATGTATGTGCCTATCTTGTCAGTAATTAAATGAAAACCAGACAAAGACTACAAGAACTTTTCAAAATCATAATTTCAAAAGTTTTAGAGCTAAATGTTGAATCTTTTTACTAACAGTAAAGATCCGTATTTTTCTTGCATTTTTGCAACAGATTATACTGCCTTATTTATAGCTTGCAAAATGCTGTTTCTACATGTGGTTATTTACTTCATCTAGAGATGGAAGCCTCTTTCAAAAATTAGTGTCCAGGCAGAGGGGGTGTGGCCTATTCTCAGACAGTGACAGCAGAAAATAAGGTAGGAGATCAACAAATATATCAGAATTCATATTAAAGAGATTTAATAACCATTTGGACATAGCCGATGGAGAATGAGAAGATTAAGAGAACTATAAGGACGGCTACAGCCACTAGCTAAGAGAGAGCACATTTCCCATGCTGATCCCAAGTTTTCCCTTATCTTTGTACCATGTGTTTACCGAATGGTTTGGCTGTTGCTCTGACGGGCTGAACAGTGGATTCTTGGACTTGCAGTACCATTGATTTACTTTGTAGTTTTGTACAAGTTACACCACCCCTGGGATTCACATGTTTTTTGTTTGTTTGTTTGTTTGTTTGTTTTAATAAAAAAGAGTTTTATACTGGATGAAAGTAACATACAGTGCTCATAATAGATTCCAAATGGTCCGAGAGGGTATATTCATTTTCTCTACGTGAAGGCCACTTCTCATGGAGGGGAATATTTGAGCCTTGGTAAAGGCAGAGTTAAAAAGAGAGAAATCTTTGTTTACATAGCATCACAATCTTTTGGAGCAGTTTAAATAAGTAGTTTTGTTTCCTTCTCACTGACTCTGGGAGGTGGTGAAATGAGGTCTCTTAAAAGCTATGGAATACAAACTTGAACTTGCCCACCTCCTGCAGTGAGTAGAGGTAGTACCAGAAGTTGAATCTGCGTGGTCGGTCTCTGTTCACACTGCTTTGAGTTAGCCCTTTGAATTTGGACCAGTAACCAGGAATTCTTGAGGACCTGTTCAAAGAATTCCTTCTACAGTAAGACAGTTTATCTTTCAGGGAACCATTGATGCTATTTGTAACAGCCAAACCAGCAATGAGCTAAAAATTCCATTGCCATGATTTTTATTACAGAACCATTTCCCCCTTTTCTCATAAAAAATAAATACTTAATAGCTATGCAAACTGTTAACAAGTTAAGCAAACCCCGAAGGCCTTCCTCTGTAGCATTACAATACAAAATATGAAATAATAAAAGTAACCATGCCCCTGCTTAAATAGGATCTCATAATACAATTTCACAATTCTGATCCAAATTGGAACAGCATCTTAGAGACACTATATTTAAGAGATCCTTATGACCAGATTTTTCTATTACTAAGATTCAGTGTCTAAACCATAAGCCAGAAAAAAATACATGGTAACAAAATTATAGCGGATTCCTCCTTCATTTATAGAAAGTATGAATTATTGATTTGCATGGCATTTTGCCAGTTACAGTCATTTCTCTCAGAAACAGTAAATTACTTAGCAGTATTTTACCCCCCTCGGAAATGTAGGTGGAAGAGAAAAAGCTGGAGAGTTATACATTAGATCATTGCATTATTTGGTTGCTTTTAAGAAAGAATTAATCATGGGAGGCACTTCCTCAGCCCCAGTACCACTTGGGTAATTAAGGTTGTAAAAGGCCTGGCTTCTAGGACTCAATTTATATTTCTTTGTAGTTGTTCTTGGACATCTAAATATGCCAGGCTGAGTACTGCCAATTTCTGTCCAACTTTGGCTGCAATTATTCGTACGGTTGGTTTTGTGACAATGGAAAAGTTAAATGCAAGATTATAGATCATTACACTTTTCTTCAAAGTATGGTTTATGTTAAGTGTGTCTTCACCATTTCCCTCTTATCATTGTTAATTTTAATTCTTACTGTCCTTAGCTTTTAAGTAAAGCTGGTTTTAATTTTCTTTCTGCCACATTAAGCCATTTTCATAGACAAATGAACGTAAAGAGCAGGCAGGTTGGACTGTTTCCTGAGACTTCCGACCTTTCTCCATTAGTGGTCTCGGTGGGGACACGGAGCTTGGGGCACTCCTTAGTGACTTTGATAACCTCTCTGTTGTTTGTCTCCCAGTAGAGCGGACTGTCCAGGGAGATGTGGCACAGCAGTGCGTGCTTCTCTGTCTCTTTTCACCCAGGTATCTCTAAATGTCAAGGCAGAGTGGTGACATTCTCTCAGGTAACATGGGGAACATCAGACAAACTCTAAAGGGAAAAGTTCTTTGAAGAAAATTATTTAATTCAAAACTTTTTTGCACATGTGACATTCTGCTGCATTATATTTCTCTTGCTTAATTTTGAAAAAATACTATTTCTCCCCATGCTGCGCTTTAAGAAAAAGATGAACAGCAAAAGGACAGCAAACTCACAGTTATTAACAATCACACCTAAAACAAAAGCAAACTAAGAGGACAGCTAGATCAGGAGCAGAACCATAGAAATGAAGATCACATGGAGGGTTAGCAACAGGGGAGTGGGAGAAGGAGAAGGTATAAAAATAAGTAGCATAGACGGTAGGTAGAAAATAGATAGGGGGAGGACAAGAATAGTAGGGGAAATATAGAATCTAAAGAACTTGAGACACCTGGTCATAAACTAAAGGGGAGGAATGGTGAGAAAGGGGGTGTGCAGTGTGGAGGGGAACGAAGGGGGGAAATAGAACAACTGTAATGACATAATAAGATATATTAAAAAAGGAAATAATGAAACCTTCAGTAATGATGATTAAGGTCATATAGCATTCATGATGTGTTAGCTACTAAGTGCTTTTATATACATAAACTTGGAAATGTGGCTCATATTTTTATGGCATATACTCATAAAACTTCAATTCAATAAATAGTGGGTGTCCAGGCACAGACTTTGGTCTGAATCCCAGACCTGTCATTTATTTCTTACAGTGTTTGGCAAGACAACTCATTTCCCTGAACCTTAATCCATCACCTGTCCAATAGCAGTAACAATATCTATAATGTAAGGTTAGGCTATAGATTGAATGAGAATAAACATAAACCATATCATAAAATGACTGGCAAATATAAAATTGTCAACTCTCTTGCCCCCCTGCATCCTTCTGGACTGTACATTTCTTGAAAAAGGAACCATTTATTTTTATATAGAACCCTG